GCTCTTATTTACAGTTCTGCATTATGAAGATATGTCAGACATGAAAAGCTGAAGATCTATTGTAAGTTTCATGCTTTAATTGCAAAATTATTTAAGTCATGAATTTTTATAGTTGTTCCTTTATTTTATTAATTTTTTTACTAGTATATTTAATTTGTAGCTCAAATATATTTTAAGAATAACTTGACATAGTATCAAAAATAATATAATAGTCGTTATAAGAGATCAACATATTTAGAGGATTAAATATTTAGTTTGTTTTAAAATGTCTACCTACTCTTTTTTTTATACTTTCAATGTTTCCTCTTTTTTTTTTTTTCTTTTTTTTCTTTTCTTTTCTTTTTTTTTTTTAGCTGTTATAATTTTTGGTACTTTTTGGTTAAACAATGTACCATTTGGCACCAAATGTTAATTTTGGTTCAAAATCTAATTAGAGATAGAAAAGGTTAACTCAATCTATACATAACAGTTTCATGAAAAAAATATTATTAAATTAACAGGATATCTGAAACTGCCAATTTTGTTTAATGCTAAAAATATTTGCATCTTCTCATGTAGTTGAATTCAGCAGAAATCTAAAGAGTGGCAGACAATGACATACTGATGTCATTACGCTGCCCAAGTTTGTAATTCATATTTTCTTTCCTTTGGAAGGAAAAGGAAGGGAAGCATGTAACAAAAAAGGAACTGAAAATTTTGAGGGGAACAATATCAGACAAATAATCTTGTTTACTTGCGATGATGTCGTTGCATAACTACCACAGCTATTTTTGAAAAAAAAAAAAAAAAAAGAGAGAGAGAGAGAGACACTTTGCAGCAGAATTACAACTGGTGACCTGAAATTAACTGAAAGTCATGAACTTTTCTAGTTATTAACTAGCATAGTATGCATTTTGTGAAGCTGAAAGTGATCAGATATCCCCTTGATCATCCACAAAATATAAATTAGCATTATGTGAGCAAAGCTAAATAAATAAAATACATGCATGCATTTAATATTAAGGAAATACTTAGCAGTCATAATAGTTAGTGGTAGGGGAAGACAGGTCCCTACCACTAAGTTCTCGAGATAACTTTTGCCTATCCACATATTTACAGTGTCCCCATGCCGCACACACACTATATATTGACAAACATCAATGCCTGCTCCTAGATCAGAACCCAGGCCCTTCAGTACAACAGTCAGTATCGCTAACCACTATCCTGCTTGAGTGGTTCACAATATGTAAACTGGCACAAGATGTCTACTCTCATATTATGGATAACAATACACTTCTTATAGAATGAGATCAGTCTCAAACAGGTAATAATTTGCGTAAGTTTGATTTCAGGCCAGTTTCTATTTACAAAGCAAAGCATCTAGCTTAATGGCTTGAAGAGATTCAGATGGACTATTTTAATTAGCTAAACACAGTGAACACTTTGAGATGCAATGAATATCAGATGTACAACTATCACTTGTCAAATGTTCATCAGACTATATAGTCATTATCAAATTCCATGGAAATAATTGTTTAACTGTTATTCTATGATAACAAGAATCACCAAAAATATCACAAATGAAAGTACAGTATCTTGTAATAATGAAATTAAATGTCAATCTAGAAAGACTAACATGCTAAAACCGCATTTCAACATCAGTGAAATAGGTGTTTTGCAAACAACTCATTTACTTTGCCGGATCCTTGTAGGATTTAGGAAAAGAAGATTTTGAACATTTGTTTGTGAACTATAGTATCAATTTTGTGGATAGTGAGTCTGGTCATATAAATACCATAGAGTATGTGGCAGCAAATTAAAGCTACGTTCTGCTGTCCGAAGAAGCAGTCATTATGATAAGTGCATTTTATTTTATTGTTTTCATTTTGTAGAAGTTACATTCATCATTTTCTTACTATGAATTTTTGTTGTTTTTTGAATTGTTTGTAATTTATTTTAGTTTATTTTGTTGATTTGTGCATAATGCCTAGATTGTACAATTCATAGATGTTTTTTTAAGTTTAAACAAAATGCTGTGTACATAATATTCTTTGAAATTTATTGTTATGTTAATTTATTAAAGCGTGTGCGTAGTTCATAGATTCCTTTGCTGCATAGATTGTGCAGTTCGCAGATTTTTAAGTTAAAACATACTGCTATGTACATGGATTCTTGTCAAATATTTTTGGCTAGAAACTTTGTGTTTTTGCTATCTTAATTTTTTTTTTTCTTTTTTTTTTCCTTGTTTCAGATTTTTAGATTAAATTGTGTGTTCAAAACATGGTTTTTGCATGTGCGAAAACGCGTTTCTGGAGACATTTTAGTTCAAAATATAGACAAAAAATTTAGATAGTAATATGGCACCGTGGAGTTTCTTGCCAAAAATATTTGGCAAGAAATTTGTTGCCAAGTGAGGGCATACATAAGAGTAGTTCCAAACAAAATTTATTTACATACTGCTTAGTTTTGCATATTAGTTTCTAAAAAAAATTTATATAAAAATTTTAATTATTTTTGCTACTTAAGTGCAAATTAACCTTTTACTTGCTATTTCACACAGAACATTTTTTTGCTTCTTTACATATATATATATATCATCTGTATTTATATGTATATTTATATATATATCTTTTTTCAGTCAAAGATATTAGCTTATCTGAAATTTTGATTTTTAACTGTCAATTAAAACATTACTTAAATAAAAGCCGACTTAATTACACTAGTGTGCAAAAATTAAGGATGAAGTCGAAAAATTAGCATATCAGCTGAACGAAGAGGCAGAGCGGACAGAAAGACCAATCAGGAGATTAAGTAAGGTGATGTACGGTAGCACATGCGCAGATATGCAGGTAGACGTAATGGGGGAGTGTCTGAGTAGTATAAAGCATGTTGTCGGTGTAAGATCAGTATTTCTGGCACAGAGATTGCACGCCGCATAGCAGTTAAAATCACACCGAGTTGCTGCCTCAGCGAAAAATGGCAAATAATCAATCTGTTAGATGACATCTGGATGCTTTTACCCGAGGTCGAATCATTGGGAAGTTGGAGGAAGGAAGCAGCGTGACAAGTGTGGCTGCAGAGTTCGGAATTGCTCACAGCATCGTTTCACAACTTTGGAGACAATTTCAAACTACAAGAACAGCTATCCATGGGTTTAGTAGTGGTCGTCCACGAGGAACCACACCCGCAGATGACCGGTATATTGCCTTACAGGCCAGAAGAAACAGGCGGCACACAGCGGGAGAAATCGCTAGACACACAACACAGGCGACTGGACGACCGATATTGCGTTTTACCGTGGCCAGAAGACTGCACGGTGGTGGTCTGTTTGCACGATGCCCTGTACGGTGTGTGTACCTCTAACGCCTGCCCATCGGAGAAGGTGTTCTCTGTGGTGCCGAGAACACCGGAATTGGAGAGACAATGAATGGGGACGACTACTCTTTACAGATGAGAGCAGATTCAGTCTGAGTAGCGATTCTCATCACATACTCATCTGGAAAGAGCGGGGAAGCCGCAATCATCCCTCGAACATCATTGAAAGGGACAGGTATGGAGGTGGCGGTGTTTTCGTTTGGGGAGGCATCATGCTTGGTAGTTGTACAGACCTTCACATTTTCGACGCAGGTTAAGTCAACAGGACTCGTTACTGTAACAAGATTCTTCTTCCATATGTGCGTCTTTTTAGAGGCGCTATGGGTCCACAGTTCCTTTTCATGGACGAAAATGCACTATGTCATCGCACAGTAGCTGCCGAACAGCTCTTAGAGAGTGAGGATATTGAACATATGGATTGGCCGGCACGATCTCCGGATTTCAATCCCATCGAGCATGTATGGGATTTTCTAGGCTGACGCTTGGCAGCTCGTACCTTACCACCAGTAACGATTCCGAAGCTTCGACTGGTGCTGCAAGACGAATGGGCAGCAATGCCTCAACAACTCATTGACACCCTCATTCTCAGCATGGGCAGACGCTGTGAAACCTGTCTAGCAGTCAGGGGAGATCATATTCCCTATAAAAGACCGGATGTTTCTTGCTGAACACCCTACACAGGAATGTTCCGGCCCTTAGTCGCATTGCGCTCCATGCTACTTTTTCAATAAAGCTTCTTTTTATTCCTCTGATTTCTCTTTTAGTAAGTGTTGCTTACATTACTCATGTCCTGACGTATTGGGGATCTTACGGTATTAAATGTGTTGATTTGGAAAGGTTTTGTACAAAGTTATATTGAAAAAACCGTCTCGTCCTTAATTTTTGCAGACCAGTGTATAGATAACTATATCGGTTTAGTGTTACATCTCTTTCTTTTTTTATTTGAATTATACGAAAAGCAGCAATTTTGTGTTTGTATTTTATTACTGCTTCATGAGAATGTTAAAAAAGGTTTTATAAAAATTTCAATTTTACTGTTTAAGCACAATTTAATCTGTTTCTTAGAATTTCACTTTTATAGTCAAAAACGTTAGCTTTACTTTCTGAAATCTTAATGTTTTAACTATCAATTAAAATATAATTTAAACACAAGATAACTTTACTATAGATAACTATCTAGTGTTACGTCTCTTTCTTTTTTCATTTATGAAATAAATTTGAATTATAGGAAACCATCTCCATAACAATTATTTATTTTTTTACTTGATTTCTAATAATTAAAAGCTTTTCCATTAAATATATTATCTCTGTATCTGCTCAGGCACATAACTATAGTAAAATAAAATGTAAGTAAAAATTAACTAATTTGATAAACTATGCAATCATTTGATGGTTCAAATCATTCAGTTACTCGGACATCTACAGCTACTATTCAAAAGTACAAACAGCAATTAATCATTAAATTTAGCAACTTTTGGATATTCAAGTATAACTGCATTTTAAGGAATCTTGTAAGCCCTTCTAAAGGATTCAGGGCCTCATATTATAGTAGCATTCAACAATGACTTGACAACAATATTTTAATACACATTTCTTTCAACTTGGACAACAATATTATAATACATATTTCTTCTAGAACAACTTACCAAGCATTTAATTTCCGAACACTTTTTAAGTCCTGGGCTCTTGTTCGAGCCAGAACTGTATGTTCTGTTAACTTCGTCATGGCTTCCCGACTAATGACTTAACCTAAATAAATAAAATTCCAATTGTTTAAAGCTTAAAAAATAATTAGTCATGAGATACAGAGCATATAAAAGCAATTCTTTTCATACTCCAGCCAAAGAGCAGACTTATAAAAATGAAGCTTTTGTAACAATAATAAATGTGACATGTGAATGACTGCATGAATAACATATAATAATCATGGACAAGTGGGGGAGAAAATACAATGTACAGCATATTTTAAAACATTACAAGGACATTGCGGATGAGTTAGTGTAGAAGTAGAGCTTGATACAACACGATTATGTGAAAAATAAATGTACTTGAAGAAAAACTCATTCATTACGTTGCTTTTATTAGTTAAGACATTTTTATTTTTCACATTGCTTCCTTTTGAACCAAGAAAATATATAGATTTTTTAGTTTATTGTTATGTGATATTAATTTTTCTTCAGTGCTCGTGTGCCCAATTTCTTTCAATCGATTATGTATGTTTATATAATATACATATATGTTACACATTATATATGTTACACATATATACATGTGGAAGAAATTACTTTCCTCACCAGCAGATGACCCTGTGCTACTCTATAAATGCTGGAAATACTTGAAGCTGGAACACAGTAATGTTTTGAAAAGCCACACTGATGCTTCAGAGAAAGAACTGTGACAAGCAATATCAGTGGGTTTTGTTTCTATTTTATTAGTAATTTAGTAACAAGAGTAAATGCTTAATGTTTTCAATAGAAAATCAAGAACTTTTTTATATACAATCTTCTGTGGGTCTTAAATATGTATCTGTGTAAAATAAAACTGTTCGTGTCTTCAGAAACAGTAGTTATTCCTAGCCAAAACATTCATTAGCTTTGAAGACACCACATACAAATATGTTAGTAGCTCTTCTGGATATGCTAAGAAACAAGAAAGAATCTTTTTTTATTAATTTTTCTTTTTATAATGTTTTAATATCCCAGTTTAGAGATCAAAAGAAATCAGTAGCCCGTGTCATATGGATTACCTATTTTACAAAGTGATGCATCTATGATAAATTTTATGAATGCAGCTTTTTTTTTTTTTTTTTTTTTTGTTTGTTTGTTTGTTTAAAAAATATAGAAAAATATACTTTGTAATAAAATAAAACAAAATAATAATATGCCTGCAATTTCATACATTATTTTTATAAGGGTCGTTCAAATAAAGGTGGTACTTCAGTCAATTTGAGAAATGGTTTAATGATATTAATATAAAGTAGTATACAAAAGAAAGAAATAATACAACCGTAGCAGATAGGCTAGACAAAGTCACCTTGTGTGTGTCCCAGCAATCAGCGAGACGATAGATACCCTGGATGAAGAAACTCCGAGGTTGGTTGTGAAAACGGTTTTCAACGGCAGCTTGGACATTACTATTACCGGACCTTCAGAGAATTCTTGAGTGGACTGAAGATGTGGTAGTTACATGCCGAGAGGTCCGTGTTGTAAGTGGGATGCTCAAGAACCTCCCCAGTAGAACTGCCATAACAATGTTTGGCATGCCACAGCCACATGAGAAATGAGTATTATCATGCAAGAGGATAACCCCATGTGACAGCATGTCATGTCTGTGTTTCTTCACTTTCTCTCTCAGTTTCTGCAATGTGCCACCATACACGGCAGCAGTGACAGTCGAGCTCTTAGGTAGTCAATCCAACAGTAGTGGGCCATTGAGCTCAAATAAGCACACAAACATGACATTACCAGCTCTAGTGGACGTGCGAGCCTTCTTTAGGCATGGAGATAAAGAGTGTCGCCATTCTATGCTCATGCTTTTGGTGGCTGGATCAAAGTGATTCCACCCTGTTTTATCAGCAGCAAAAATCCTTGAAAGAGTTTAGTTCTCCATTTCGGGGTACTACATAAGGTGTAGTACCCCGAAACATGGAAACAGACACGAGATGAATCTTCTGCTCCTCTGTCGAATGTTTTGGCACCCATTGCGCACAAACCTTGTGGAATGGCAGCCTTTCATGCAGCACTGTGTGCACACTTCCTAAGTTCACAGACATTTTCTCCACTATTTCTCAAGTGATGACTCGCTGATTCATTTTCACGAGATGGTCCACATCTGCAACTGCTTCCTTAGTGTTCACCACATGTGCTTGACCAGGTTGTGGCCTATCGTCATTACTCCTTCTTCCACTATGAAAACCCTTACACCATTGGAATACTTATCTACGTTTCATAAACTCCCATTTTCCACTGTTGAAAATCTATACACCATTGGAATACTGATCTGTGTTTCATACACTCCCACTTTCCACTGTTGAAAATTGCACGACCAACTGACATCCATGATGGAAATTTGGAAGCATCCATGATGCGATCGAGGCCTTTTAATGAGCTCCCACGCTATCACACATGCACCTGGGGGGGGTATGACAATATTGCATGCACTCCCAGCATTCTGTGTCCTCTATAAGTGCATACGTTGTTATCTTCCTCTTAAAATGGAAGAGTTATTATAGCAATGCCACTTTCATTTGAACGACCCTTATAATTTCAATCAATAAAATAAAGCACTAACAGTTTTATAAAGCTGAAATTCAGTTGAAGCTTTTCAGGCTGTAAAAAAAAAAAAAAAAAAAAAAAAAAATGCGTGACAATCACAACATTTACTTAATGTTAGTTGGCAACAGTAGTGCTGTTGTTGTATTGTCCTTATCTGGTGTGCATTACTGTGGTTGCTCGTTCCCATGTAACCAAAATATTCCCAATATATTTTATTGTTCAACCTGGACTATGTCATTTATTTAACACACTAATAATTTAAATTTTAACACAAAGCACGAAGCTCAAAAGGAAATGCCATAACGACCCAAGATTGAAGATAGCACTGAAGCCTAACCATGTCGTGAATCTGAAGTGAGCTGGATAACCATCCTTTTACGAAGTAAATAAATTTTTTTCTGGTGAATTTAGCTCGATTTATTTACTTGAAGAATGACACCTGAAGGTTATAAAATGCTGAAACTAAACGGCGACAATTATTACACATGGTGTATCCGTTCACATGCCGTGCTGATGCAGAAGAGATGTTGGGAAGCAGTGTAACCCGGATATGGAATTGAAATGAATGAAGCGGAGAGAAAAAAGAATGATGAAGCTCTTACCCTATTATTCCTCATAGTTGAAGATGCATTTCTAGATGATATCGAAGATTTTGTTAGAGCCAGAGACACCTGGAGCTGTTTAAATGAAATGCATACAAAATTTAGTTTGCTTCATGTACTGCAACTTATGAGAGAATTCTTTAGCATAAATATAAAGCCAAATGAGTCTGTCCAATCCTATCTAGCAAGATTAACGGACTTACATAGACAATTAGCAAATGGTGGATATGCATGCACAGATAGAGAAGTGGCCTAGTGATGCTATTGGGACTGCCTAGAAGTTATGAATCGCTCATCCTAAGTTTGGAAAAAGATGAAGCAAATCTGTCAACTACAATTGTAAAACCAAGGCTAAATGTAGAAGAGAAACATATAGTTAGAAATGAGAGTTCAGCCAAAGTGTATCATGAAGAACAAGCTTCATGATACACTTTGGCTGAAGTTTTGCAATCAACCAGAAGAAGCCTGCATTTGGAAAACCTGTGAAGAAGTATGCATCTAAAACGCCAAATGAAGAAGAAACTAACAGAGGAAGAAATACTAAATGCTTCAGCTGTGGCCAATGGGGGCACATCTCTAAAAATTGTGAAGAGACCAAATATCAGAACCAAAATGGTGCCAAAACTGCATTTGACCTCAAGACAAACATTGCACTTCTGGCAAACGAAGAAAAATCAAGGAAAAGTAATCTGTGGATTTTAGACAGTGGAGCTACAGAATGATGATAAAAGAAAATCCTCACACCTTAAAAAGTATACATTTGAAGTTGAAGTTGCTAATACAGAAAGAATAAAGGTCACTGGAATTGGAAATATTTCATTTTCTGTTGGAGAAGAAAATGGAGAAAAAAAACATCACTATTGAAAATGTCCTATATGTTCCAGAACTAGGAGGAAATCTATTATCCATTGGAGTAGAATTGAAGAAAGACGCTTAAAAGTAGAATTTTCTGAAGGAAAAGCCAAAGTGATTGGTAAAAATGGAGACACTCTTCTATCTGATGAGAAAAAAGGAAGACTGTACATAATCGAAGAAAAGATGACAACTGTCTACGTTACGAAAACTAAAAGTTCCGACTTCCTGCACCGCAGACTTGGTCATCCACACTCTTGTACAACAAAAAATATTATTCCCATCAACAGTATTAGTAAATGCACCTTGCCAAGTCTGTATCCAGGGATAAAAGAAAAGGAAGAATTTTCGGCTAATCTTTGGAATACGGTAACAGGTAGTTTGGCGACATTTTGGTAAGGCGATAAAGGTTACTAGCTAGGACTTTAGCAGTGTACATGGATAAAGTCAAGAGTGTGCGCATGCAAGTTACGCATTATTTTGTGTGAGGGAAATGAGAGATCATGATATATGTCATGTGACATTAATGGACGAATCACTGTTCTTTAATCAGAAAAGGGGGTATATTGTAAAAATATCTGCTGTACTTTATAGGAGTAGTTTCATTCTATGTTCTGTGAAACAGTGTTGTTTAATATTTCGATCCCATGGCCGTATATAAAGTAAATCAGAAATTTTTATTACGTTTATGTGTAATTGAAAAGAATTGCTTAATTGCGGTTAAGTATGAATGTCCAATATGTGGGAATGAAATGAGATTGTGTGAAAGGAAGGATATTACAGATAGTTTGAATGGCGGTGCAAGAAACCTGGTGAAAATGGACATTTTATGATTCGCCATGCACTCAAGATTCTGTAGAAGATTAGGTAAGTTAGTATTTTTAATTATTTGAGGATATTATTTTTATGCATTGTTCTAAATGTAAGGAGTATATAAATTAATATGGTATTATTGGAAAATTGTTATTAGCACTGATTTAGTTTAAAGTAATTAGGATTGTAAGCTAATTTTTATTAATTTAATGTATGTGCTTATTTATATTTTAAGTAGTGTTTTTTAATTTAATTATATTTTAATTTAATAATCATGATTTTGAGAGTTATATGTTTGTAGTATTTTGGAATACGTTTGAGTAGAATTAAATGTGCATGGAAAGAATTTAAGTATTTGACACTAAGTATTTGTAATCATTTTTAATGTTTTGTTATAAATTCGTTGGTGACGTTTATAATAGATAATTTAGAGGTAAAAGTTTTTGGATATCTTATTTATTTTATACGTGCAAATGTCCATCCTTGGAAAGGGTATATACTTTTTCCTGATCAGGTAATTTCATATATGTCCTTTTTTACCGAATTTAAAGATTCACAAAATTTTTCATGCATTTTCGTGAAATTTTCTAATTTATGAGAAAAAAGCAGTGTAACATGGATATAGTGAAGAGTGTGCGCAATGCCATTTTTGTGCAATTCTGGGATGTTTTTTTAAGTAAAAATAAGTCGACGTGTACATGGTTTAGTTATATTTTTAATTAATGATAGTTATTTTGTGAATTTTTATGTTTGTAGGAATTTTGGTATACGTTTCAGTTGAAGTAAACGTGTATGGAAATAATTTAATATTTGACACTAAGTATTCGTAACTATTTTTAATGTTTGCGTATAAATTCGTTGGTGACGTTTATAATATAATAGATAATTTAGAGGTAAAAGCTTTTGGATATTTTATTTATTTTATACATGGAAATGTTCATTCTTGGAAAGGGTATATACTTTTTCGCAATCAGGTAATTTCATATATGTGCTTTTTACAGAGTTTAAAGATTAAGAAAATTTTCCTGCAAATTTTTGTAGCAGTGTAGATGGATAAAGTTAAGAGTGTGTGCAATGCCATTTTTGTGCAATTCTGGGATGCTTTTTTAAGTAAAAATAAGTCGACATGTAAATGGTTTATGTGTATATGCTATTCTGAAAAACGCGCAAGGAGTTTGCAATTGTGCACTTTTTACGGAACTACTCTGATATGCGCCCTCAAGTCGCCAAATATTTTTGGCGAGAAACTTCACGCTGCCATATTACTATCTAAATTTTTTGTTTACATTTTGAACTTTAAGCCTAAAATGTCTCCAAAAACATGGTTTTCGCACATGCAAAAACTACGTTTTGAACACACAATTTAAGCTAAAAATACAAAACAAAAACAAAAAATTTAGATAGCAGAAACGTAAAGTTTCTAACCAAAAATATTTGACAAGAATCCATGTACACAGCGACATGTTTTAACTTAAAAAACATCTACAAATGGCACACGTAGGCAACGAACGAATCTACGAACTACGCACACACCTCACTTTAATAATTAACATAACAATAAATTTCAAAGAATACCATGTACACAGCGTTCTATTTCAACTTTAAAAAAACATCTACGATGCAACAATCTACACTAAAAACAAATCAAGAAAATAAACTAAAATAAATTTCAGACAATTCAAAAAACAACAAAAACGGAAATTCATACAAAAAACAATGAATATAACATTCTACAAAATAAAAACAATAAAATAAAATGCACTTACCATAATGAAAGCTTCTTTTAAAAGCAGAAATATCTTTCCCCCCCTATCTTCTCAGATAAAGAGCATACAATGTCCAAAATACATTCGTTAATAAAACTTCGCCAGTCACACAACGTCTGTGAAGAAAACTTCCACGATTTTGCTAATCACCCATGCCTTCCTACGATTCAAAATTTCGAAAGTAAACAATAAAAACTTCTTCCAACGTTAACTTGCTACACAAGAACCAGATCCAAACCTTAAACTCCGCTGACACCCACATACTTTATTAGCAACAATTTTACTGCAAACCCACACAAGTCTATCAGAAACACCTTTTTTCGTCAGAGTTCTCATATCAGCTCCGCACTTCGGACACGTCAAACTCCGTTTTAAAAGTCCCGACTCCCACAGAAATTCCAAAAATACAAAGACAAAGAACAAAAGACTCGTTAACAACTCAAACATCGTACCTTTTCATACTAAATTTACTCTGCACACAATCTAAAATACGCAGCTAAAACCTTCCCACCATGTCTTTCATCGCAACATAGGCCATTTCAAAAACATGCGACACGAACCAACTAGCAATTTAAACTACTCCACCAAAAGACTTTTCAACGTCGACATGGTTGCCATACAAGACGCAATCGCGCCAAAACCCAGCTCAAAACACATATCGCCACATTTGGTGAAATTAGGGTGTTTATCAGAGTTGTACCCTTTTTCCCAATTTTGCAGTTAATATTTGTCATGATTAAGCAGTTTTGTTACATAAAATTTCTAGCATAATTGTAATTCGGCTAGTAGATTGTTGGAAAAAGTGTTGAAAAAAAAAAAAAAAAGAAAAGAAAAGAAACATGCTTTTACTTCGTGAAGACAAAATGGTGGCGGGGAAAAAAAAATAGAGGGTTGCTGTAGCAGAGTTGGTCGCCAAATTTTCTCAAAAAAATTGCCAAGTTACCGTAATCCAAAGATCAACCCAAATCAGTTATTCTGAATTCAAACAGCATAAAATGTTATCTTTTGGCCTGAGAGTATACAAAATCTATTTTCATACAAATATGTATCATATACAAAATCTACTTTTTGCACATAAATTTCTGTTAAATTTCTCTTCATCAACACTTCATGGTGAAGTTAGCTTAAGTCTGTAATCATTGACAAAGCATAATGGTGATATAAAAGGTTACCATGCTCTTTATTATTCAATAACCAATGTAAAATAAAAAGTTTAAACTTCACAACATAAATCACTTTTTAAGCAGCCATACATCGATAGTCATGCAGCAATGAAAGCACAAAATAATAAATAATGAATCACAAGGCTGAGATCAGGGATGTAAATTATTCACTTCTTGAATCTCAAAAGCTAACATATGATCTTAGTATCAATGATGTTTCAGTTCGAGATGTATGTTGAGAAAAAATGGTGGCTATGAGACAAGTTATCAATCATACAGATTCATGATAATAAATGATTTTTTTCTTTGGTATGGAGGTATTTTATTTAGTACTGATGTTGAATTAAGAATAAGATTTTTTGATAGTAAACCCACATGTTTTACTATCAAAAAATATCAAATGCATATGCATAAAACACCCTCATTTTTTCTCCCTTAAAAAAATTTTGCTGGTGGTTAGAAGGTTTGGATTTTAGATCATTTATGATATTGGACAGCCAGATTCTTGACTTCATACTGCACATATCTGCTTATTTAAAACTAGTAAAATTAATTTAACACAAGCAAAATAAGAACATATACTTTTAATCAGCATCAAAATTTAGTTATAAGTAAACAGCTGCATTAACTCCCAGTCATTCCAAATTATAAATCAAGGACTGTAAGAAAGTAAATTATGTCTACATATATAATATTAAAACAGCAGAAGATTTATGCTTATCTTCCCAGATTAATAAAACGAACTTTTTCTCAAGCCAGTTCACATTATGTAATACAGGATTAATTTAAATCACTCAAAAATTTTCTATGACTGATGTTTACTTAAGTTCGTGTTAATACTTAATACTGCTAATTATCACTAAATTCAGGCTAGAAATTTCCAAAAATGTTGATAATACAATTCAAAAAATGTTCAAAACATCCTGCATACAACACCTCGAATAGAATTAACGTAGTTGAAATTTCACTCGCATCAAACAACAAAAAATTAATTTTAAATAGTAAAATTAGGAACGAAAGTCTTACGAGAACGAATACTGAAGAACATACTCATTTGAAGTATACATAGGTATGGCATATACATAATAAATCAAAATATGCACATAAAGAGAAAACGTCTACTGGTTTTTTTTTTTAAATTGGAGTTTTCAGAGAGCTTTTTTAAAGGATTAAAAAATTTTCATCACAGAATGAAACTGTTTATTAAATCAACAAAATTTAAACACTTTTTGGGGTTTGATGCAGAAATCTGTCACCATATGACACATCAAACAATACAGTTTCTTATGTCCATGTCAAAACTTAAAGTACGACGACAGACAAAAATTATATTGAACGTAGGAAACAGAAAGGCTGAATATTCATATAAATTTTAAAAAATCGATAAAATATGAAACTCACCTTAAAAACTGACAACTTAATCACGCTATCAGTTACATCAAAATGCAGAAGACTTAAATAACATAACTTACTTATTTCACTTCAGATCAAGGTTACTAGTGCATCAATACAAACAAGGACAGAAGGAAATATTTCCTGTTCATTGAACTTTATTTAGTGTATGAAAAGCTGATTTTATTCCTTTGCGAAAAATAGACCCTTCCTTATAAGTTAAAAAATTTTGTAACCATAGTTTTTATTTGTAATATTCAATTATTTTTTAGAATAATTTGACGTTTCAAAATGCACAATGCTAAAATTTCTATCCTTAAATTCAATTTTACTTTAATTCGTTAAATTACCATGTAATTAAAGTATTCAGATATAAGTTATTCCATTTAGAAATTCATTAGGCATAGGACTAGAGTTCTCCTGATAGTTTCTATGGTTACCATTCCAAAACAATGACATCAACATGCCGTCCTTGTCGAATATTTGAGTTGGGCGATTTTGTTCCTTTACAACATAAACTCTGCTATGATAGTTTGATTTCATACAATCAGTGTACTGGATTTTTGTTCTAAAAAACAATTTGTTGAATCAAGATTGTTATTTTTGAAAGTGAAGAAATGTTTAACTTATTAGTAAAGCAAGAAGTTTATAAAAATATATATAGATTCTTAATGAAAGATTTATGATTTATTATTTTTATCACTTCCATTTTTAATTATTTTAGTCATGTCCCACAATTCGGTAAGTAATAATATGTCTTATTTTTTTTTTTTAATCCATTCTTCTGCATTAGTTTGTAATTAAATCTGAGACAAAAATCTACTTGAAAAAATTAAAACTAGGATTGGATTTGGTAATGTGCCTGTGTCAGTGGAAAAATCAGACATATGCTCATCTAGAATTAGTTTAAAATATATTATTTACTTTACATATTTATAAAAACATGCAGTTTAAAACAATAAAGAAATATATATCATATATAAATAGATATAATTATTATTAAAAATATAATATTATAATACATTAATACAATTAATTGCTATGCATAAATTTTTCTTGCCTCTAAAGAAGCAAATTTATCAATTACTTCAGGATATCATTCAAATTTTTCTCTTTCGTATTTAAAAATGCTAGGTCTTCTAAAAATATAAATGGTCTCTTAGGTGAGCTTGCCCCATCATCAAACGCAGGTATGCCAAAATTAATTTTAATTTGCTGAACAAATGTTCATAGGTAGCAATTGATACTAAAATAGTAAGAATGCAACTCTCAGGTTTGTAAGAACATTTTCTACATATGAAATTATGAAGGCAAGAAGCACTAATAAAGTTTTAGGTGCAGTTTCTTTTCTACTACAGAATAACATCTTGCATTCACAGTTTTTGACACAGTTCTGTTCCATTAAAATCTGTATTATTAAATTCACCCAAATTTTTACAATTCTTTTCAAGATTGTTATCAATAGTATCCTTGTTTTTAATAAATTTTCAACATCTAGCAAATATCCAAATTTGGAATTAAGATCACTTAATCATATAAATTGAATATTTATTATAGGCGATCAGGAATGCTTTTCACAATGCAAGAAATTGCACTCTCTGCGGAAAGGCTAACATGTCTACCCAATTCGCTGAGCATTTTTTGGCATCTTCTAACACAGGTTGTTGTATCAGTACCTTATTTTCACAGAGATATGGCCTTTTCTATTGCCTCAGATTCACAGATCTTGCCTTGAATTTTTGCAGGCTCAGTTGCTAATGATTCAAGATCATGCAACACTTCTCTAAAATTCATTTAGGATCTTGTAATCTGAGCTGCACATGATCAGTTTTTCTTAAAAGTTCATGCTAGAAATGGACATGGACTTAAGTTAAGACTTCTGGTGTCACTTGAGGTAGAACTGTCCTATGATAATTTTTCTAACAGTTCTACTGATTCTTCCAGCCCATCAACAGTAACACTAACTATTTGTGCTCTGTCACTCCATCTTGTTTCAGATTCATGTTTAACAGTTTTCTTTTAAGCACTTTTAATTTCCATCATGATGTTGAATATAAGAAAAGAGATATATATTTCCAGTTATTCTAAAACACTTTACTAAGACTGTATCTTTCTTAGCTGCACTAACTCCCATTAAATTTAGTGAGTGGTTATCACAGTTTACAAATAATGCTTCATTATTTTTTTCCGTAATTCTTTGTAGAATACCAGATATGTGATCTGACATCATGGCAGCATTATGAAATCTGATCAAAATTTAATTTTTCTAAAACTGTATTTTCAATTGAAGCTGCATCTTTAGCATGTGTTTCAATAAATTCCAAAAAAGATTCTTTGTTTGAAACTTTTCTGATGGTAAATTTGTACCTACATACCTAGACTTATGACATTTGTTTTCATTGGGCGATATCAGTAGTCGAATCAAATAATAGTCTATATTTTGTTTCTTTTGATGCCACTTATTAGTTGATTATTATAGTTTGGTGGTTGAATTAATAATAGTTCAAGGTTAAATGGCTTATAATATAATTAAAGGCTATAGTATATTGTTTGTTAGTATTTTAAAATAACAAGAATTAGACATACATACATTTTGTTTAAAAAGTAAATATATTTTACTATTTTTGAAAAATAAAGTGTTCAGAAAGAAAGAAGGAAGAACGTTTTGCATACAGAGATATTTGATTGATTTACTGCAAAGAATATTTATATCACAATAAATCAAGAAAGGAAATAATTATAATAATTATTAATTTAAAGTCTATTTCCCGGAAATCAATCAAAATAAAATTTGAAATTTTCTGAAAAATCTTGTTTGTCTTGTGGACCATTTGGCATCCCTCTGCAAGCTACACCCGGGACATTATAGACCACCCTGCACCGCTTCACTACACCACTGGTTGAAACAATATAAAAGTTTATCTATAAAAAGAAAAAAATCTAGGAAAATTATGGCAACTGTTTCTACATGAACTGTTTTCTACATGAACAAAAAGTTCATGTAGAAAAACTGTAAACTGATAACAAGCATTCAAGTTATTCCTTTCCGATGAGTCAACAAGATAAAAAAATTTTTGTTTCCAGCTTTTATTTTTGCTTATTACAGTAACACTGAATTCTTATTATAATGTAAATTTGTGTATTGAGAATTATTGCTAATATATGAAAAATTTTTTTTTGTGGATAAAATTTTGAAGAGCACTATTTCATGCTTATGTCACACATAAAAACTGTAATTTAATAAGAAATCCTTTTTTTTTTTAATTCTTGGATTAAGTTACCCAATAAATATATTTATTACCTTTAAAAATACATCCTTGTTAAAGTACATCACTTAAAAGGCCTTTGATGATATTTAAACCTGGTGCTAGCTCTTTGCATCTGATGCAAACTTTCCAGCTTCTAAATTCTGAAAGTGGTTAATCTTTGGATTATGGTAACTTGGTGATTTTTTGGCAAAAATTTGGTGACCAACCCTGCTACAGCAACCTGCTAGTTTTTGTTTGGACGCCATTTTGTTTTCACGAAGTAAAGGCATTTTTTTTTTTCCCTTCAACATTTTTTTCCAACAATCTGCTAGCCGAATTACGCTTATGCTAGAACTTTTATGGAACGAAAGGGCTTAATCATGACAAAAATTAGGTGCGAAATTGGGAGAAAGTGCAGAATCGCAAACTGCTTGCCGTGTTTTTAAGAATTGCTCATACTCGGTATCCATGTACTTGATAGACTTTTTCACTTAAAAAAAAATCTCAGAATTGCATAAAAATGGCATTGCGCACTCCCTTGACTTGTATCCGTGTACACGTAGACCTATTTTCTAGACAAAAATCTAATTCTTCTTACCAAAATGTTGCCAAACTACCTGTTACCATATTCCAAAGATTAGCCCTGAAAGTTTTGCCACCTCTGAACTGTCCCGCCTGGCCCAACTGCGGCAGTTGCATGGGTGCTGGCTAGATGGCCATCCATTTAAATACACGTAAAATTCCATGCAGCTAATTTGTTCTGCTCCTGAAAATAGAAGCCTACAGGAAGGAATTGCTAGTGTTCTGTGGCTTCAGCAAGTAATTTCCCACTTTGATTTTGGAACTAAAATTATAATTACTGAGATCTTCACTAGAAGACTTTATAATTAATTATTTTTTTCACTTGTATAATTTGGATAAATACTCCATTTCCTTGTTTATAAATTACAAAAGGTTTTCAATAACTCCTGATATTTTAAAGCAAAATTTCAATGAATCTTTTCCCTGTCGTAGATCTAAATAATCACTCATTCAGGCCATATTAATTTTAATAATATGAAAATGAAACAAATGAAGTGTTAAAATTGTTTCATAATTATATTAATCATTAGCATAAAAAATTAATTTGGATTCAAGATTATTTCTGAAGTGAAATATTTTTGAATTTATTAATTTAGATTTCATACAGAACAGTTTGGTATTGTTGCGTGCTTACGGGTTCATAATAAATTGAATGCACAAGTCCGATAAAAAGTGAATAAAAATTTATTATTATCACAGCAAATAAAACGAAATGTTTAAATTTCCTCAAATATTTGTTCAATATTGCAATCTCTCACAGTAGTTATCTTTAAACTACCAAAATGTTCAAGAGAACTAATTCAAAATAGAGAATAATCCAATCTCACCGTGGATTCGCTACAGTAAACAACAGCAGTTTTCTAAAAACTCCGAGCTGAGAGGTTTTGATCCCGCTTTTATAAACTTTTTAAAAAGCATGAGAAACTTCTAGATTTTTCTGGATATTAAAAGAGTACAATTACTAGATATCTATTTATTAAATTCATGTGTGCTGTATTTTTAATTTTTCTGGCATAGTTTTCTCTTCAAATAAATTGTGTGTGGCATTGCACGGGGAAATGAAACAATTTAATGACAATTCTATTAAAAATAGCAAACTAAATGAATCAATACAAAAACTGTTATTTTCCTATCTTATGCTATGACCTCACCAGTGGCCGACAAGACCGCTAAATATTGGTAGTTTGACTTAAGTTAGATGAACGAATGGGCTGGCTGCATGGTTGGTTTCAATATTTTCCCCATTTATAACACAAATATGAGCCATTTTCCCTTAGCAAGTCCTCTATGAAGGCATATCTCTCCTCAGGCCTATTGTTTTACTTTATTTAAACAATCCTAACCTCATACAATGATACTTATCACACAATCAAGATGGAAGATATCTAAACAAGATTTTAAATCAGTCTGTTGGCCCCCTCCCACTGGCCGAGAGCTAAAATCGCTGACCACTGGTAATTCAAAATGAGTTCAAATCCTGGCAAACGAGATGGTTCTATGGTGTAGAGACATTAGGTTAATTGGAAGCATGCAAGATGAAAAATGAGCAATTACCTTCACTGGGAATTGAACCATGGACCTCTGGAATACTGTCCCAGCATGCAGAACCACTACACCATGAAGGCACATTAAGAAGGTGGGGAAAATACCTTATATACTCCCCCTTTTAAAGGGCGACTGGGGATTTTAGGGGACCCAATCGCCAAATCCTGGGTGTGGAGAGTTATCATCCACAACCCTTTTAGTTCGGGTGCCACTGTAGAGACATTAGGTATTTTTGGATCAAGAGAGATGAAAAATTAGCAACTGGCTTTGCTGGGAATTGAACCACGGACCTCTGAAATACTGGCTCAGTGTGCTGACCACTACACCACGAAGGCATGCTAGGAAGGCGGGAGAAATACCTTATAT